AATGAATTTTTTTCCTGATTATAAGAAATCACCCCTCCGATTGATCCCCCGTCCAATTCAAACGGGGATCGAAATTACGACGGCCTGAGCCGAGGTTCGAACCCCTAGTGGTGCCCTCAGACTAAAGTCGTATCCGTCAGGCAGGAGTTGATCCTTCCGCGGGTTTGGAGTGCCATCTGCACTCGCCCCATAACGTCCAGTGAAGCTGTAAAGGCCAGTTACGGCCAACAGCATTAGAGTAGTCCGAAAAAAGGAAATCATTTAATTTCATTTTCAATCAACGAGAGAAGAAAAAAAGATTTTAATCAACAAACAACATACTACCCTGTTATTAAATAGTAAAAATCGCACTTCATTTCTTAACTTACTTTTGTCGTTTGGCTTAATTACCGCACAAGATGCGTGGCATACGGAGGCGGTCCGCGCACATGAACAGCGCGAATATGCAAGGTGAAATTAAACAATCAATAATTAAACAAAACCTGGACTATAACAAATAGTGAACTTTGAAAATAGTGTTAAAATAAGATTTCATATAATTGTATATGCAGTGTAAGAATTCATAATGTGTATTGTTACATTATGAATTCTTACATTGCACAATGTAATGAAAACTGTGAAATTAGTAGTAGTGTAAGATTTATATAATTGTATATGCATATTGATAAATCTAATCCTCCAAATGAAGATGGGTGACACTGCATGTTGTCAACTCACCCGGCCGGCCAGCGGTGGTTCTGGGCCAGACGGATAAGGTCTGCCTCGGTGCCACTGTTAGGCAAATTGTAACATCTCGGCTGGAGTTGTACAAAAGTGGAAATTAAATAAATATTATAATATTAAAGTAAATTAAAAAAGGCACGGACGAATATATGTGTGGAAAGATGTATTTAAGTATGAAAAAAAAAATATGTAAGGTGATCACTTAACTTAATAAGCGTCGGCAGTGTTGGACGACCGCCAACCGCCGCTCGAGTTACGACCCAGCACAACACACCCGAGTCAGCTGTGATTAAGATTTTCGCATGACCCACAGAATTCATGCTCCGACCCAATTCAAAAATCATTTATTCATGTAGGACATTTTAGCCACTTTTTTCTGAATGATAATGGAATGGTGCACCCGCCTGCACTAACGGTTACGCTGGCGGGGCACCAGTGGACTATGATAAGATGAACATGAGGTCAGGTCAGTTAGCCAATCGTGACAAATTCACCAAGAATTTATCACGATGGTTTCCAGGTGAACCGCGTCAACCTCACATGGTAGCAATAAGATCAGCAGTCCACATTACTGACAAGATATATTATATGATTATAGAGCAGAGACACAATTATAGAGTTATAGATAATTTATAAAACTAACGTGTCTCTGGAATTTTTTTTATACTATGTTGGTAGTAAACAAGCGTACGTTTTATCTGGACGTAAACGGTTACCATAGCCTATGGACGCCTAAAACAGCAGGTCACGTATGCGTTGCCAACCCTTAAGAAACCTTAATTGAACCTTAATACAAACACTGTGAAATAAAAAAAAAAATGATAGGAAAATAACATGATCACACGCGATAGAGTGAACAAAAAAAACTGGCTATCTCGCTCTATCGCGCGCGCTCCAGATCGCGCGTGAAAGAGTCTCGTGTAAAGGCAACAAAAGGCACTGTTTCTGAGAATCCTGACTTTTTTGTCGTGATTAACCGCCGCCATCGCAACGTGTCAGACCGCGGTACAGGCAATAACTCGTGAGACACCCTAATTCCTTTCCACGAGATCAAGTATTCATTCAGCGATATGAAAAGGGGCGGAACGTAAAGGAGGAAAAAGGAATACAGAATAATTCTAAGCATTATAACATCCATTGGAACTCGTACGTGACAATCGGGTGCAGTGCACGCCCGCGGGATGTATACCACTCGTACTTAGGTTTTATCGCGCACACGTGATTGTTGTGGCGATGAAAAAGGGAGAAATAAAGCGGCGCACCCATCGAGCGCTGTAATCGCTACATTATTGATAATAGCGCTGACAAATCGGGTCGGATCGGGCCCTTTTAGACTTTCGCGTTAATCCGCTGCGAGTGTTTCAACAGCCTTTAAGAGATATGGTGTGAAATAATATATATAAAAATGGAAATTACGTATAAGAAAATGTATACTAAAGATTAACAGACATTACAACATCTGCTTATATATATTTTTTAATATATGATGATGGAATGGTGCATTGGTTGTGGCGCTAGCGATTTACGCTAGCGGGGCACCAGTGAAGGATAAGATGAAAATGAGGTCAGTTAGCCCATCGTGGTAAATTCACCATTATTTATCACGATGGTTTCTAGGGGAACTGTGAAATAGAAATAGATATAGAAATAATCTTTATTCAAATAAACTCATTACAAGCACTTTTGAATAGTCATATTTTGATTCTACCACTCATTCGGAATGCAGATTCATCACAAGAAGAATGAGCAAGAAACTTGTGTGTTGCTCTTTTTATTAGATGTTTTTTTTTATGTAAATAATTACAGTGTAACAAGTAAGAGGCATGCGATAATCAACATAGAAATCGCTACGCACTCATTATTAGTGTAATCAGATAATATTGTCAGTGCTATGTATTTAAAAATTTTCTACAAAAACCTTATTATCGTTAACGAATTCTTCATTTTTATAGTAAGCTTTTTTGCAAAGGAACTGTTTTATTTGACATTTAAATCTTTTTTCTGGCAGATTTATAACAGACTCTGGTATTTTATTGTAAAATCTTACGCAATTGCCATAAAACGAATTACTAACTTTAGCCAAACGACATTTAGGCAAAATCAGTTTGTTATTGTTACGTAAGCTTTTATTAGTGCAATCACTAACTCTTTTGAAACTGTCTATATTCTTCCTGGCATACATGATATTTTCATAAATATATTGAGAAGCAAGAATTGTGGTAAAATAGATACTTTTTATAGACCAACGTCATATTTATTATTCATTGTTTAATGACATCCATCCATCTGTTGTTTAAAGGGATTGTATCCTATCCCCTTAAATGTTGGACGCATAGTGAATGGCCGGCTTAAGGCGCGAGGCAAACAGGATTGTTTGCGTATCGGGCGACCACCTGCGGGCCGCCGCAAGCCCCTCGATTCGCAGATGTCGAACCTGTTCAAATATACTTTGAATAATTTCTTTTCTACAACAATATTGATTGTTTACAGTCACTACTAAGAATATATAAGGAATTGGGGACAGGGAATTGTTAGTAGTGAGGACTAAAGACCCTTATTGCTAGTAATGCACTTGGAGTACTGCTCTCATCTTTGGGCGGGAGCACCTGGATACCAGCTCGGTCCTTTTGACACGGTTCAGAGAGATGGTATTTAATGTGAATTGTCGATAATCCTGATCTCTATGATACCGATAACGGACTGTGTTCTGAGGAATTGTTCGACATGATGCCGACAGCCACCTTTTACCACCGCACCGCTCGCCATCGACAGGGAATTCATCCCCACACGCTGGAACCTAAATGGTCCCGAACAGTGCGGTTTCAGAGGAGTTTCCTCCCGCGTACACTTAGATTGTTTTCCCACGAGACTACAGCATGGGGTTTTTCAAGAAGGGTATATTAAGGTTTCTTAAGGGTCGGCAACGCGCACGTGATACCCCTGGTGTTTCAGGCGTTCATAGGCTACGGTAACCGTTTACCATCAGATGGGCCGTATGCTTGATTGTCACCATCATAGTATAAAAAAATATGCATGAATCGGTATGAAGCATTACTAGCAATTCAAGTCAAATTGATTTTCACGTGCATCCAGAGGGCTGGTTTCCAGAGGGAAACCTTCGTGTTAAATTCCTGATGAATTTATAACGATTAGCTGTCCTAACCTCATCCTCCACTGGTGGCTCGCCAGCGTAAACCAGATGCACAGGTGGAAGCACCAATCCATAAAAAAATACTTAAGCAATTCCATTGTTTTTTAAACTAACGCCCATACTAAATCATAAAAATATATCATAAGTCTAGCGTAGAGTGTGAATGTTTGCAAAACTAAAGGTGTCACTTGTTAAATCCTTGCGACATTAACTAACTCTCTGTGCGCAAAAAGATTTAGAGCACCTATTTGTACTTTGTTTCCCTGGTCGCCTTTTGTGACTTTCTTGGTATGATAAGAAGTCTTTCTTTTCCCTCCATCACTCCATGGACTAATAATAGTAGTACATACATACTATGGTTTTAGAATACAATAATTTGGTTGACAATATGACATTTCAGATAAGGCTGATGTAATTCATGTATATTATATATTTGGAGTGTAATATATTTCTAAAATTTACAGCAATTTACAGATAAATTTTGCATATTATACTCTTTTAAAGCGACCTCAAAAAAGGAGGAGGACGATAGAAATATGACTGTTTTTTTTAATGCTTGTTACTTAAAACTCCGTCATTTAGAAACTGATTTGAGAAACCTTTTTTTCATTTTAAAATGCATATAGATAGGCACAGTTTTTTTTAATATTGGAGTCGGTTTTTTTAAGAAAATTATTGTATGTTAATATCATCTTGTGCGGATTGTTACAGTATTCATTTCTTAACTATTAAGGTTTAATTATTTAATAATCTTATTTTTTTATTCTTTATTGCACTATAAAGCGTGTATAAGAGGCGAGCTTAATGTGATATGCCATAATCTACCAACTAACCTTTGGGTAGCTGGTAGAGAATGCTGTTATCAGGTACTGGAACCTGTAGCACTGCGACCTGTATAAACATATTGTGCTCACCCTCTTTCAAAAATCCCAGTCTAAACTTGTCAGGTTGTAATTCAGGGATATTCTTAGGAGCGATGGTTTGCATCTCCTCAGTATAGAGTGTAAATGAGATATTTCTATACATGAGTGGGCTACAACCACATAGGATGTGTAGTGGCATCCCCTCTTCATAATTATACTTATACTTTTACAGTAAATTTAAACATCTGTTATATTGCCAACAGGAGGAACTACGAGACAATCTGACGGTGAGCGTGATGAGCTTCGTGCCCACGCTGGACGACGACGGAAAGCCGATCACCTGCAGAGCGGAGAACCCCAACGTGACCACACTGTTTATGGAAACGTCGTGGACAATTAGTGTAGTTTGTACGTATCAATATGTAAATGAAAAATTACTAGTAGTTACTCTATTCTCGCTAATTTTGAATTTAATAATTAATCTGTATTTTTGTAAACTGAGCGGGAACACAAGGACTATTTTAGTAAAAATAAGTTCACTTTAATAAATGCGTATATTTCCCAAAAGGGGTCACAGCGAAGAAGTAACAGTCAAAAATGACATAGAAAAAAACAGACATCAAAAATACAAAGTTTTTAAAAAGAAAGGATCACATGTACAAGCACATTTGAAAAGAATAAGACCTGAGTTTCTTCAGTTCAGTTCAGTCAGTTCTTCTTACCTCTAATAATGAACTGACGATAGTTTCTAACATATCATAAGACCTACATGAATGTAGATATTTAGAATTGATGTTTGTGATCATGATATTTGTATTGCCAGATCCTAGCAATACAAATTTAAACAAAAGTTGATATGACAGTGAGGTTTCTAAAACTGTAACAAATGTAAAAGTGTTGTTGAATCTTTTATACGACTTTGTACAGTTTTCCTCAGATTAAACTGTTCTGTTCCGTTCACGGCCACTGATTAGACTATTACCTTTTGACAAAATTGCTATAGCATATGCTGGTGGTCACTCTATTCTCACTAATTTTGAATTTAAAATTCAATCTATACTTTTATAAACATATACAAGAATACGAGCTGAGTTTCTTGTCAGTTCTCCTTACCTCTAATGCTCTCAGCCTTGACGGTAGTTTCTGACATATCATAAGTCTGTAATAGACCTACATGAATGTAGATATTTAGAATTGAGATTGTGATCATGGTATTGGTATTGCCAGATCCACCGGTAGTGAAGCTGCGGTTAGGCAGCTCACTGGCGGCGGGAGATATCAAGGAGGGTGACGATGTTTACTTCGAGTGCCACGTGCGAGCCAACCCGCCCGCCAGGAAGCTCTCGTGGCTTCACGATGTAAGTACATACGTTAAATATATTTAACCATAAAATAAACGTATACAAGGTATTGTTTTGTATATTCATTCATTAAGATTTATATTATTTTTTCTATAAATGTCATACAAATATACATAATTCCTCAATATCAATTTTCTATATAAACAATTACAAAAAACAATCATTGTAATCCAACGCGGCACATCGAGGCAGCGTACCCAAGATACTGGCAGCGTTGCCTCTTTGAATGGCCATACTTAGCCTTTGTGCAAAATAGCTACCAGCTCTCGGGTCACAAGTAACCTCAATGAGCCGCGCTGAAATATATGTCAAAAACAATTTGGCTTCCGGGCTCCATGGGCCCAACGTCTCCACGGCAAATGGTAAAAACCAATACGACCACTCCAGATTCGTATATTTTCGTCTTTTTAAAATTGCCGCCTGTGTTGCTGCCGTGCCAGGACGAGAGGACGATCCAGACACATGACTTGGTGCCAATGTATCCACACACGTGGCATCCCATACTAAACATTTTCCGAGTTTCCACGGGACCAGGGTCATACCATCAGGCCGTTTCCCGTCTTCGCGGACAATGCCATTAGGCTCTAGTACTGCCGGTATTTGTGCCGTAGATTTATATTATTGTTTACATTTACGATCGCTATCGGAAATTAATCCATACACGCTAGAACTTAAGTGGTCTCGGACAGTGCGGTTTCAGAAGAATTTCCTCCAGTGTACTTAGATTGTGAAATAAACTACCTGCTGGGGCTACAGCGTGAGGTTTTTCAAGAAGGGTATATTAGGGATTCTGAAGGGTAAAAAAAATTAAATTAATGCAATTAGCAACAAAAACACATTGGCAACCAAAACGGAAGGTTGCAATGATGCCTATAGGGGAATGCATAATAAACACAACTATTTTGTTATTTTTTACCGTCTTTTTCAAATTATTTAAAATGGCACGATGTAAGTTTCTCCTAGATTATGTAAAAGAGTAACACGCAAGTTTCTTGCTCGTGCTTCTTGTGTCGAGACAGCTTTCCGAATGAGCGGTAGATTAAAAAATTAATTATTACTATATCAAAACTGCATAAATGTTGATTTATTTGAATAAATAATTTTTCATTCTATTTTACTTTTCATCTAAGGACCTTTTCTGATAATTGTGTAGCATTGGTAGTGAAAGAAAATAAAATATATCAATTTATTTACTCAATACAGAAAACAAATTAATTTTCGAATATCAGGGACTCTTCCGAAATAAATTCCACTCGAAATGAAGCACTGCGCAGTTGAAATTAACACTACTTGGAAGCAAATATAAATATGAGGCAATTGCCTGAAAACCATTGGACTTTGTAAATTGTGGAAGAGTTCATTATTTTGTTTTATTCCACCAAAACATTGGTAACTGAAATAAAAATACAATTGATATACAGAAATTAAATAAATAGGTTCACATGGAAGACAACACAATGACGGCACTGTAAATATTCATAATGTTAATACTAGATTTGAAGACAAACTTGCTGTCCCCAAGTATCGTTTAGAAAAAGATAATAGGTCTTTTACGGGAATAGGTATAAAAATTTACAATAAGATACCAAAGGATATATTGGAATTACCCTTAAATAAATTCAAAACATCTGTTAAATCACATTTACTGAGCAAAGCCACTCACAAAACGATTACTTGAATGACAAGCGTGCTGGGCAATAGTTGTTCATGCACGGGATTTTCATTTAATGTTAGACATAGACACCTATATAAATATACATTGTAAATAAACTGGCTTTAAAAAAATAAAGTAATTCAGTTGAGTTTCTTGCCAGTTCTTCTCAATTGTATCTATATACCGAACTGGATGGTGGGGAAAAAATATAATGTAAATGATTTAACGTTCATAAGCGGCTAAAATGTCCTACATGAATAAATTATTTTCGAATTTGAATTTCAAAATTTGCAATTGCAGCGGATCGTCTAATGTTATTTTGTTTTATCTAACACATTGAAATTTGATATCGCTAACAAAAGATTAACTGAAACAAATCTGTCGTCATCATGTGAAACAATAACGAGTTGCGGAGGCAGCAACAGGAGCGTGATGCGGGGACGGGGGTGCAGGGGCGGGGGTGATATGTACGAGTTGGTAAAGTACTAGACGCTGAAGTACGGTCCGATAATCGCTTTGTACTGTGTCGTTCGCGTTTTAATCAGCAGTTTTATTTTTATTTTTTCAACTCACCCTTTCAGAGGCAATCAGTCGCACGTTGTTACACGGATCGCGTCGCACATCACCGCGCCCGCCCCCCACGCGGCTTGTTTTCCTGTATTGTTTCCACGTTTTTGTTCATGGGCCGACCCACTTACCCCGGCGACGGCTCTCAGTCGGAGCACTGAGCGTACTTGTTTCAAATGCGATTGTTTTACATTGGGACGTTACGTTTTGTCAGATGATGCTGAGGCGATTCACTGGCTATATATTTCATGAAACGTGACAGCTTCTGTTTAATGTTATTATCCATTGTTGGTGCTGATTATTTTTAATTCTTTTGTTTGCTTATCATCCAATTCAAATTCAAAAATCATTTATTCATGTAGGACATTTTAGCCGCTTATGAACGTCAAAAATTTTTATATTCTAATTTTTTCCCTACCGTCCAGTTCAGTATATAGATACAATTGAGAAGAACTGGCAAGACACTCATTTATTTTAAAGGCAATTTCATTACAATGTCTATGTCTAACAATAATTAATATCCAGTGCATGAACAACTATTGCCATGCACGCTCGTCATTCAAGTAAACGTTTAGTGAGTAATAAAATAGGCTTTGCTCAGTAAATGTGATTTAATAGATGTTTTAAATTTATTTAAGGCTAATTCCAGTATATCCTTTGATATCTTATTGAAAATTTTCATACCTGTTCCCATAAAAGGCCTATTGACTTTCTCTAAACGATACTTGAGGTCAGCAAGTTTATGTTTAAATCTGGTATTAATATTATGAATATTGCTGATTTTTGGAAATAAGTGAAGATTTTTGTGAACATATAGAATATTTGAGTATATAAATTGAGAAGCAACGGTAAGAAATCGTGAGATACTTCAATAATGTAGCCGTAAACTGAATCTAATTTTTTACTACACTGCCAAGCATACTGTATGTACTACATATATATTAACAATGAAACAAACAAAATGTTAGATTCTTTGGAAGGAATCTTTGGAATTTCCGTAAGTGGATTGTTCTATACACACCTATGGGTAGACCGGTGCGTCGGATGGTCGGATCGTATGGAGATACTCCACCTCGCTCCTACAATATTCACACCGCTTTTTGTAGCTACAAAGCGCTTTAAACGTAGCTTCCATTTGTTAGGTTCGCGACGATACGTGTCATTGTTTTATATTGTGATTGTTTTTGAAAAATGGCGGCGTCCACAGCGCCAGAATTAAACTGGCGAAATTTACTGTGGCCAGTTGGTAGCGGGGCGGCCGGGCCTCGCGTCGTGGGATTTTTGTATGGGTAATATAAATTTTAATTGGTGTTATTTTTGCGATGCGGACAATTTTTGTTTCACGGCGGCGTGTAATGGCGGCCGGACGGACCCGGCTAATGACCGAGGCGGTCATCTCGTAAGAGGGTCACTTAAAAGCTTTCTCGCGACAATGTCTGCCTCGCCCACTCGGGAGCCCAAATTATTCATTATTAATGTTAACATTAGCTCGCACATTAAAAGGGGATCGGCGGTATCACATGGGAAGTACGTCTGCACTCATTACCTACCTATTTTGGGAATACCTATATACCTTGGAACTACTATATATATACTAGTACCGAGTTAAGGTAGCTAAAGATTGTGTTATAGGCACTAGATAACTGATACAAATACATAAACAATTTTTTCGTAAACACATACATATCATACATAGAAAACACCCAGACCGATATAATCAATCGTACTCATGAATACAAATATTTGTGCCGTGCGAGGAATCGAACCCGCGACCATTGGAAATAAGGCGGTATGCTAAACCGCTAGACCATCGAGGCCGTCAAATATGATATATATTCACATATGTGTCACATCATCATAACCTAGTGGTTTAAAACACAGACAATATAACTATATAATGGTCAAGAGTTTGAATCTAGCTGGCGTACAAAAAACTAATTATCCAAGATCCATAACACAAGCTCTGTCTTGCTTGGGACTAGATGGCGCTGTATAAATTGTCCAAGTTTTTTTTTTTATTTTATATTTACATTTATTCATCCTAATTATAAGCTAGTGTAACACAAACATATATGTCTACAAACGTCGAAAGTTGGAATCTAACCGACGTACAAAAAACTACACTAGTTGTTTGTTAATAATCCAGTACCCATAACACAAGCTCTGCTTAGCTTAGGAGTAGATGACTCTGTGTTATTATCCAAAAAAAATATATCCATATTTTTTTGGAATTTGATCGCCACTGGAGAAGGTCGTAGCGCTGGTCAGGCCAACGGCATCGGCAACCAAACCGCGACTCGACGCGTCGCCGAGGAGTCAACACTACGCTTCCGAGCTGTACCCGAACTCCATTCAACGGCTGATGATACGTCGTTCAGAGGCGAAACACGTGTCGCGATATGGGTGTAGACTCAATAACGGTCGGAATCTGATCGCCACTGGAGAAGTAGCGCTGGTCAGGTTTCCACACCGAATATTCGTAATCTCACACATGTTAATTGTAGCGGAATTAAACAAAATTATATAAATCCATCGAGTAGTAATATATTTTTTTATTATATTTGTTCGTTCACTCACACCGTTTTATAAAAGGCTGTATGGGACTGTTGTTTCATGTTAGATACTATTAAAAGTAAAATAATGTACTAATTCTTTATTCACGAATTCAGGTCCATTATCAGATTGCACTACAGAAACTCTTTTATTATTAATATATTTTATTTATCCGTCTTACTCGTGAACGGGTGCTGCTTGTAGGGACTGGTCTGCTCTAATC